GATGCGGGACTCGATTCCAGGACTCCAGGATCATGACCTGAGCCGAAGGCAGTCGCTTAACCAACTGAGCCACCCAGGCGCCCCTGGTGAATAATTTATTAATGTAAATATGAAGTCTGTGTAAAACAAATAGTACAAATTTTAAGAAAGGGCCTCTCTTTAAAAAAAAAAGATTTTATTTATTTATTTGAGAGAGAAAGAATGAGAGACAGAGATCGTGAGAGGGGAGAGGGTCAGAGGGAGAAGCAGACTCCCTGCTGAGCAGGGATCCTGATGCGGGACTCGATCCTGGGACTCCAGGATCATGACCTGAGCTGAAGACAGTCGCCTAACCAACTGAGCCACCCAGGCACCCCAGGGCCTCTCTTTATTAATCTAGTTTTTTAACTCACCAGTATAGAGATCCCTTCATTCTCTATCAGATACTTGCATCCTTTGTTTGCCCTTAAGTAAGTGGGAGGAGGTCATATGAGTATAGATTTCAGTGTCCTTTTTATCTTTTCATCAGATTTTTCATTGAAAATGTTTTCTGGTTTTTTATACTCATAAAAAAATGGATATTATTTCTTCTTGTTACTCTCAGTTTAGAGGGTTAAATATATATAATCTCTGTAGACACTACTCTCTTTACATACAATATTCTTTAGACTTGTTTGACTCAATAAGTACTTTTCCTCATGAATTTCAGATTTTAGTTCTCCACTGATTCAAAAGGGAGGAATGGTGGACATTATCATTTCTTTTTTAATTTCTAAGGTCAGAAACAGTTAAAAAGAGTACTTGGACATTTCTTCCAGGAGTTTGGTCTTCGTTTATTACAATGCTAAGAATGGGCCCAAATGTTGAGGTAGTGTTAGCAAGTGGTTTCTAGAACAGAGTTAAGAAGAAAGCTTCTGGGACCACAGGAAACAGTGAGGGAGCTATTCTTATGAATAATGCCTGGAAAGGCCTAGTCCATAATAAAGCTGCACTGTCAGTTATAAATATCTTAAGCGAGGGGTGTATATGTGTGACAGAGAGAGAAGGGAAGTGTTGCTTATCACAGTTTTTGCTCCTACTTTGTGAAGTCCCATCCCATGTCACAAAAACAAGTGCCAAATTGAACCTGATCATGACTCATATTTTATCTTTTCTTGTGTTTCTATTTTGCAAAAATGTGTCAGTGTTTTTGCTGACACAGAAAAAAATAGCAATGTGACATTTCCAGATTTCTCAGCTGAGTTCATATACTACCATGCTTGATGGTAATATTTGTTTAATTATCTTTGTTCCCCAATAGACATATGGGGTGAGTATGGTGTGATATTCATTATCACATACCCAGTATTTGGATAACTTGCAACTGGTAGACTTTCAATATTTGTTGAATGATTGGATAAATAAGGTGTTAAGATTTAGACACTTAAATGTGGGGATGGAAGGCTCTGAGACCTTAATTTTGATGTGGGGTTGCAGGTATCAAATCTGTAATGAAAGATACTGTGTGTCATTGTATGTGTATACTATGTGCTGAAAGATGAACTGTTTCAACAATTAATTTAATCTTAACCCTTTTCTGTATGAAAGGCAGAGAATTGCTTGTATGAGGACAGTCTGTCTTTCTGATCATTGTAAATTTTATGAAAGTGAATTATTCTCCACTATAGGTAAGTTAGTGCCACATTTTGTCTAGTTTATGTAGTTCTGACA